CATCTGCCAATATTGTCTTTTCTCTACCAAGGCTAACTCTGCCAATCCCTAGAACAGTGCCCCACCCAGAGCCAGATCATCCTATCTTCTTTGTTAGATCAGATCATATTCTTTGCCTTTGAGCCCTTTGATTCTCATTTTCCCCTCTGGATAAGGTGTGAGTCAGCAGCCCACCCACAATGACAACAGTGCTTCATCTCAGCACAGGTTCGAAGTATGGGAAGATTCAGATTCATAATGTAAAAGGATGACTGCATTTCATAAATACCTCACTGCACTGTCTCCAGGGGTCTCAGTTGCCAGCATTAACTAAGAACTGTTGCTCTAATTCTTTGTTTATAAATCAATTACATGATCTGTAACAAATTTTGGGTTAGCAAATTAATGGCTTTGTAAATCTTTTTGGAAACCATTATTATTTTAATAATAGCTAAACATTAATTGGGCACTTATTATATGGCTGGTAATGCATTAATCCTGGCTCATTTAATACTCATAACACATTTCTGATATACTAATTAACAGATAAAAAAACCAAACATGGTGAGAATAATTAATTAGCTTAACACCAGCCAATAATGGAGCTATTGTACAGGCTCATTCATAAAACCAAAAGGTACCACATTAAATTACCATTGAGCTTTACATTCCTGATGCCTATGGTTAGTATGTTATTTGTAACTGAGTAGTTGTGAATGCCATAGTTGAAATATAATCACTCATTATTCTCATCACACTATGATTTATATTGCTTCATAAATCTTTTTTTGAGAGAGAGAGAGAGAGAGGAGAGAGAATTTTTTAAAAAAATATTTATTTTTCAGTTTTTGGTGGACACAACATCTTTATTTTTTATTTTATGTGATGCTGAGAATCGAACCCAGTGCTCTGCGCTTGCCAGGCGAGCGTGTTACCACTTGAGCCATGTCCCCAGCCCATAATTCTTATTATTATGATCTTATATAATTTCTTATTGCGTTTTCATATTTATTCTATATGTAAAAAGTACATAATCCATTCATTTTGTTCAGGACTAATTGCCCTCTTAGGAAATGTCCTGAATCACATTGGATTTGCAGAAACTGACCTTTTGGTAGATGACTAATGAATTCAAAGTGCTGAGTATTTACCATTTTGTCCATTCACACTGAAAATCAATACCAGGTTATTATAAAAGCAAGTGCTAAACATATTCTACAATACATACAGGCTTTTAACTCACCATTTGTAAAAAGTAAGTAGAAAAAATTCATCTAAACTGTTGTGTAGGTTAAAGGATGTTCTGTTTCTTGACCTTTGAAGTTCTGCAAGCATAACCTTGCCAAGATTGTCGAGGCCCTGTCTCCTTCCATTCAACATCGGCCTTCCAGAATCCTCCTTTGCTTATTGACTTAACCAGGGCATCCTCTGTAAGGCTAAATCTGCTGGCCTCAAGGGATTCTTAATTCCTATTCACCCAAAGGTAGAAAGTTTCTCTAATATATCTTAGCTTAATTATGTATTTGAATGCCACTAGTTTTTGTTAGTGAGAGTCCATTTCTATTATGTACCACACCATCTAACAGGCCAATATTTTCACAAATTGAAGTCTATTACCAACATTCACCATGATATTTATGATGTTGTATATTTTTATTTTGTTTCTGTTTAAACAAGAAATTTAAAATTGTACTAAGGGATTGGGGATATAGCTCAGTTGGTAGAGTGCTTGCCTAGCATGTAAAAGGTCCTTGGTTCAATTTCCATCTCCACAAAAAAATAAAGAATAAAATTGTGCTAAGGACACAATTGTGTAAATTAGAGAATCATGTGGAATCTATTGGGAACACAGGTAATGAAATATACTTTATGAATCTTTAAAACCCTTAGTCTGTAGATGCAGCTTGAAAGAAACTATTTCAAAGGTGTTGTTTGACAGATCATACTCATGTATAAATTAAAAGCTCTGACAAGAAAGCAGCAGAAACAATGCTTTCCTTTCATAAATGCAGATGGATCACCCTTAATCACTTTTAGGACAATTTACTTCATTTTTTTCACTTTTTAAAGGGAAATTTGTTACCTGCTTCTTTTTTTTATACCTTGTTTTTGTGAGAATTGAACAAATATGAAGGGGCACTGCATCAGTGGAATTTAACCAAGAAAAACGAAAGCATGCAGTGCATTTAAAGCAGAGGCAGTTTAATGGTAATTATTGGTTACATTGGTGAAGGAAGAGCTGAAAGAAAAACACAAGGCAGAAAGTAGCATCACTGGGGATCTGCTACCATCCTAGATGGGAGGGAGAGTGTGACATTACCTACCCTCTGGGCCAGGGTGGTGGACACAGGCATGGAGGAGATGGTGCCCTGCACAGGAAAAGGAGAAGCCCAGTGACTTCTCCGTTTTTTCAGTGAACATCCTTCCAGCCCTTGTTGGAAACCAGCTTATGTAGAAAACTGGGAAACTCAGCCCTCAGTGTCAGACTACCAGTGACACAGGGCAGAGTAGAGGGGAGAAAAAGAAAGCTTCTGGGGTCTTACAAGTCGCTGCCTCGTGCAGTCAGTCCTTATTAACACTGGGCTCCTATTCTCCCCTCCTAGGTAGTTTCCATGCAAACACATGGATTAAAGAAAAACAATAATGTTGATATTTTTAATTGACTAATACTAAGAATGCATCCAAAAATAAATGCTTGAAGAAAGTATACAATATTTAATGCATCAATTATAAAATATAAAAGGCCTGACTGGATCCTTTCTTTGAGGCACAATGCTTGGCATGATTGCCCACTGGAAGTGACTGCCAAAAGAGCATAGAATAGATTTTGAACCCTGTGTTCTGTGTCAAAACACAACTGTCACTTCAGTGTCTTCACTTCAGTTGTCTTTTATATGTGTGGGGATTTTTGAACTCAAATCTTTCTTTTTAGGTTTCTTAGATCTTTCTTTGTCATTCCCTAGATGTTGAGAATTCACTTCCACCTTTCACTTCATTTTCCTGCACTTTAAGATGAGGTGGTCAGGAAAGGGTCCTCTGTCCCATGTAGTCAGCCTTCCAGTCC